TCCCTACTGGGTCCTGTGGCAGCATGGGAAGGGGAGAGGGGCCGGGAGACTCACCGCCTGGCTCAGTGCATCACCTTGCAGAGTCAGCACGCCCTTCACCTGGTCTGTGCTACAACACGTGGGAGTCAGAGCAGTGCCTGCAGCTGCCCCTCCCATCACCCCATCCTCCCAACAGGCTGTCCCTGGTTGTCACAGGATGGTCCAGCCCATCCCACTGCATATCCTCTGGACGTTGGAGCTGAAATCAGTCTGCAGGGCAGGGCCATGCCACCTGTCCTAGAGGGTATCCCAACGCCTCCCCAACCCAGCCCAAGCTCACCCACAGCTGCCCAGGATGAAGTTCTCCTGCTTTGTGGGCCCCTCGGTGCCTGAGCCGGGCAGAGTAAAGCGGAGAGAGGCCTCCTGCGGGGCAGAGGGGAGTTGGGGTAGAATTCACCTACTCCAGCCTAGCCACGTGTCCAGAAGCCCCACTCCCAGGGCCCCTCCCCCACAGCCTGAGTTTCAGGTCCTACCTGAGCCGATACCTGCTCCTTCCACACTCCCTGGGAGCTTACTGTGTGCCCAACCCGGGAGAGAGAACAGAGAGATACCCTCCCGGCTTGGGGAAGGTTTGGAAGTGGGGAGCAAAGTCAGGGGAGACAGTAGTCATGGCAACCTGCAATTTTGGCTTTATCAGGCACTGCCTGGACATTTTTTTGTGATTCTATTGCCTTTTTTTATCACAACAGCCCTGAGGCCGGTACTAGTATCTTCTTTTGGCAAAGGGGAGGCCCAGAGAGATCGAGTACTTGGCTGAGGTCAAAATGCTGGGTCCTTCAGATCTGAGGTTAAATGTCAATTCCAAAGGAGGCCTTCCCCGACCCCCGGGGCCGCGCTCACAGGGCTGCTTGTGGAATTGGGTAATTAACTGCTACTGCTTGCCTCCCGGCTAGACTCTAAGTTCTCTGAAGGCAGGGCCTGGTCTGAACACCGCGCGTTGCGTACACAGTCGGCGCTCGGGCGGTAGCCGCGGGAGGCCGGGGAAGGAGCCGCGCTGGGTGAGGGTAGGGAGGGTGGGCGCCCGCTCAGGCCCTCAAGGCGCGTTACCTTGAGGATGTCCTGCAGCTGCCTCAGCACGGCGTGCACCTCGTCGTGCAATAGCCAGCGAAACTCCTCCTCCTGCGGGGAACTTCAATAGCAGAGGGAACTTTACCATTGTAGGCTTCAGATAACCTCTGTATTTCTCTGTGGCATGTGGGATCTTCCCGGACCGGGGCACGAACCCGTGTGCCCTGCATTGGCAGGGGGGGCCCCCCCCCCCCCCCCCCCCCGCGAGCCTCACCAGCACCGCCCGCTCCGCCGCTGTCGCTGCCATCACGGTCGCCATCGCCGCCGCTCGCTGCCCAGCGACCGTCACCAGCCCGCCGTCCGCTCGCCGCTCAGCCCTCCGGCGCGCCCGGGCCCACCCGCCGCCGCCGATTGCCTGCTCTGGCCCCTGCCACGCCTCCAGCTCGCGACGCTGTGAGCGCCCCGGAACCCGCCCGCTCCGGCTCGCCCGGGACACCGCCCGCACCAACAGCGGCGCTGAGCACTCCGGCGCCGTATCCATCGCTACTGTCAGGCCTGAGCACCGGGGATGCTCGTCCCGCCCCTTCTCGGCCCTGATAGGGCGCCCTGCTCCGCGCACACTCACCGATTGGCCGGCCCGATAGCTTGCTCTCGCCGCGTCCGGCGATTGGCCGACGGGGAACCTTGTTTCCGCCCGATCTCGCCTCCGGTCCACTAGTTCCGTCGGTCCGGGAAGGACTAACGCGCGGACCCTACGATCCCGTTGCTGTGCTGAAGAGGCCGCCGCTCCGCTCCACGCCGGGCCCTACCCCTCCCACCACCGCACGGCGCTCGATGTCTGGGCGCAGACCACCGCCAAGGTCACAGTTGTGTTAACAAGAAACGTTTTTATTTTGCTTGCAGTAGCTTTTTGTTAATTGCACAAAATCATGTTTTATTTTTGCCATTTAAACATTATCACACAATCCTATTCTGAAAGACAAATGTTCATTAAAAACAAAGCAAAAATAAAAATTCACAACCTTAATTACCTAGAAGATTTGTCATTTAAAGGTTTAAGGGAAAAAAAAGTGGTGGAGGGGCTTTCTTACAAGCTTTTTCACAAGTGTCACATTTTCTCCTTAAAAGGGAAGGATTTCAAAACAAAGGTGAAATAGCTTAAACAAATATTCATAAAAAGGAACTTTACAGAATTGTCAACAATATTAAGACAACATTGACTAACCAGTTTCATTACAGCATCTTCCCCCACCCCCACCCCCTAGTGTCCGGCGAGGACTAGCACAGGCTTTGTAATCAGAAAAGAATTCAAAATCCCAGTGAAATTAACAACTGTGCCAAACACCACGGGCATCTCCCCTGCCCTCCACCCATGTCTTCTGAGATCCCCTGACCTGGGTTCTGATCAGTGGAAAATGGCCAAGGCTGTGAGGGGGAGGGGCCCCACACCAGCATGGCCACCTCATTACGTTTATCATCACATATTCACTATAATTGCTGACCTTCTGCGGTGTGACTTTGGAAAATCCAACCCATGCACAGGGAGAAAACACTGACATCCTTTAGGTAACTTCTCCTTGTTCTTATGCCACATTCCAAGCCCCTCTGGTCCCCTATCTAAGGAGAAATGCTAGGGTCTCGAGGATGTCTTAGTTCTGCCTCTGAGGGTCAGGTAGCTCTGGTTCAGTCAGGCCTAGTTCTCCTCTTCCCTCCCAACAGACCCCAGGACCCTGAAAGCACCGAAGACCAAGCTGCTGGCTGAAGTGCAGACACTCATTCCTGTTTCAAGAGCTGAGCCTAAGAAATGGTCATCGTTGGTCAGGTTGGGTCTGGACCAAAGAAGGAAGAGACAGAAAGCAATACTGTCTCCATGAGAGGAAAAAGGGGAGGGGAGGAGAATGGAGAGAGGTGGGCATGCAGGGGACTTGTGCAGGGATGGGCTGGAGAAGGTGGGACTGCTGTGAGGGGATGTGGGTCAGAGTGGCTCTTCAGAACCAGGTGAAGGGTCTGTGGTGTAACGGAAACAGGAAGGAACCCCATACTCCCTCCCTCTTCAATCCTCAGTGCCGGCCCTCAGGATCCCCTTCCCAAGGACTGGAATGCAAATCCAAATACTTCAACAGCCTGGTGAGAAGTGAGCACCCTTACACCAAAGCAAGGAAGTCTGATCCCAGCCCAGGCTCCACAGTGACGGTGACTTCCGGGCAGGTGCTGAACAGCAGCCAGGAGAGAGGGCTTCTGTGAAGCTCACCTAGGGGTGGGCTGTTTGCTGCTTTCCCTGGAAAGCCAGAGCCCTGTCTTCGCTTGACTCTGCCAATCCCTTTTCAGCTCACAAAGGCATTTATGGAGAGTTGGTTGCACACTGGTAGCTTAAACATGACAATCCTCATCAGCTGGTCACCTGAGGTTGGAGGGCCCATGGGAGCCTCGGTTTACAGTCTGCTGGCTCATCTTGGCCCAGAGCCTCTCTCTGCGTGGGATCCAGTGGGGGACAGTGGACAGAACCACAGCCTCTTCGTTGTGAGGGAAGCAGTGGGAAAGCTTCCACTTCTCACTGCTGATTCTAGTTCCTCAACTGGAAGGGGTTTGAGATAAGACAGCTTGGAAAAAGGGAAAAAAAAAAAAGCCAGGCAGCAGTTTCTGGGCAGCTTCTATCCTGGGGCGAGTGCCCGTATGGTGGGTTGTGTGTGTGTGTGTGTGTGTGTGTGTGTGTGTGTGTGTGTGTGTGTTTGTGTGTGTGAACACACAGCCACCTAGTCCAAGGCCGGTGCCCAGCTCAAGAGCTTTCCCACAGGCCAATCCTGCTGACACCCCTCCCCTCTCCAGGACCTCCAGGGGAGGAGCGACGCTGTGTGCTGTGCTGATGGCAAGTCTCAAAGTCTGTAAAAAAGAAGATGGAGACAGGTGGACTGGTCCAGAGTTAAGTCCCAGGACCCCAACTCCATGTGAGGAAGAGGGGGTCAGAGGGAAGATGGGGGGGTGGGGGTGGGGTCAAGGGCTTAGTGTATATAGGCTCGGTACACGGCAGACATGTCATTGTCAGACTGGTCCAGTGCCTTGGCTCTTTTGTACACCTGGAAAAAAACGACATGGGCTTAGTCTGGCCACAAAGCTGACTTACAGACACAGATCTGCTTCCGAGAGGCGGTTCTCGATGTGGTTAGGTAGGTAGGTTCTGGAGTCTAGGCTGTCTGGGCGTGACTCCTGGATCACCCACTGACTGGCCTAACCTTGGTCAAAGTGCCTCAGTTTCTCTGTGCCTCCACCACTGCTTCTTGACTTTATGGAGAAGGTAACAGGGTTATTGTGAGGATTAATGGAGTGAGGAATGTAAAGGGCTCAGAGGCAGGGCTCAGCATTGTTAGTAGTTATAATCATGTTCCTTCCTGCTCCAAGGACTTCCCATGTTATTCTCTGGGCCACTGTCCCTGTCCTTCCCTCAGCATTGGCTGGCTCCTTCCCAATCAGCTCCAAGGCCTTTCCTGACCATCCCATCTGAAGCAGCAGCTGCACCACTTTACCCAGCCACCTCCATCCCTTTACTCTGTTCCACTTTATTCATAATTCTAACCTTCTGCAATTCTTACTTGTTTAAACATTTATGTGCTTACTTTGTGCCTCCTTCCATTAAAATGTAAGCTCTACAAGGAAAAGAAGGGGCTGCACCCTGTGTCCCCAGAGCCTAGAATGGTGCTTGGCAATTAACAGCCACCCCAAAGGTATCAGATGAATATGAAAGAGTG